ATTTTTTTTTTTTTTTTTTTGTCTTTTTTTTTTGTCTTTTTGTCTTTTTTCCGTGTCCGGCAACGGATCGCACCCCTCAGTGTCGCCCCCGTACCGGACCGGGACCGGCAACGGGATCGCAACCCTCGGCGTTGCTCCCGCGCCGCGCTCAGCCAGTGAGCGGGAGCCGGTCTATATGTGGGATCCGAACCCTCGGACGGGAGCGCCGCCGCGCTTCCCAAGCGGCGCACTATCCAGTGCGCCACCGGGCCGGCCCTTAGATTTTTTTTTTTTAATTATTTTTTAATCTTTTTTATTTGTGTGCTTAGTTTTGAATACTGCTTTTGACCTTTTTTTCTGGGGGTCGGGCTGGGGTGGCCACAGGGATCTTGGTGTTACCAGTACCACATCTAATCAACTGAGCTAATCAGCCAGCTGAATACTGCTTTTGAAATTAAGAAAGAAAAAAACCTTAACTTTGGAAGAAAAGAGTCCTTCTTTTGGTTTTTACAACTAACCAGATTAAACTTTTATGAATCTATAGAAGAGAAACAAAAATGCAGCTGTCATATGTGCTGCTTTTCATGTGTTTATAGGAAGCACCTGAGAACTCACTATGTGCTAGGTCCTAGGGGTGAGGTGCTCCTGAGGAGTGTGCAGAAATTTACTGAGGCTCCAATTCTGAGCTCTTTTTTTTTTTTTTGTCTTTTTCCGTGTCCGACAATGGATCACAACCCTCAGTGTTGCCCCTGTACTGGACTGGGACCGGCAACGGGATCACAACCCTCGGTGTTGCTCCCGCGCCTCACTCAGCCAGTGAGCGGGAACTGGTCTGTATGTGGGATCCGAACCCTCGGCGGGAGCGCCACCACGCTCCCAAGCGGCGCACTATAGCAGTGCGCCACCGGGCCAGCCCTGAGGCTCCAATTCTGAGCTCACCTTTTAGGAGGATGATTTCCAGCAGGGAATCACTCAGCTGGTGAGGGAATCCAGTCAACTACCCAGCATTTGCAGCCTGACGGTATATGGTGGATCTCATTTAATCCCCAGTTTTACAGATTAGGTAGAGGGGCATTTCAGAGTGGGCAAAAGCCTCAAGTCCTGTGCTTCCCTAAGTCAAGAGCCTACAGGATTATTATTCTAAAGTAAATAAATAAGTCACAAGGGCAGTGAGAATTGTAAAGTGCTAAGACAAACTCTGATTTAAGATCAACAAAATTTGGTAAACCTTGAGCTAAAGTAACTATGAAAAAAAATGAGAGAGAGAAGACTCAAATTACCAAAATTAGGAATGTAAGAAGGAACATTACTACTGAATTTACAGGAATAAAAAGGACTATAACAAGTGCATATCAACAAATTAGATAACCTTGAAACAGACAAATGCCTAGAGAGAGACAAACTACTGATAGTGACCTATGAAGCAATAGGACATCTGAATAAATCTATAACAAGCAAAAAGATTAAATTAGTAATCAAAAACCTTCCCACAAAGAAAAGCCCGAGACCAGATGGCTTCACTGGTGAATTCTGTCAAGTGCTCAAAAGAACAAACTCTTCCAAAAATACTGAAGAGAGAATCCTTCCCAACGCATTCTATGGGGCCAGTATTACCCTGATACCAAAACCAGACCAAGACATAAAAAGAAAACTATAGACCAATATCCCTTATGAATATAGTCATAAAACTCCTCAACAACTCACAAGCCAAATCCAGCAACAGATAAAAGGGGTTATATATCATGATCAAATGAGATTAGGGTTATATGTCATGATCAAATGACATTTGTTGCAGGAATGCAAGGTTGACTCAAATACAAAAATCCATTAACGTGGTATACCATATTAATAGACTAGAGGACAAAACCCACATAATCTCAATAGAAAATAGAAAAAGCATTTAATAAAAGCCAACATCATTTCATAATAAAAACACTAGACAAACTAGGAATAGAAGGAAACTTCCTCAACATGATGAAGGGCATTTATAGAAAACCCATAGCTAACATTATATTCAATGGTGAAAGACTAAAAGCTTTCCCTCTAAGATCAAGAATAAAACAAGAATACCCACATTCACCACTGCTATTCGATATTGTACTAGAAGTTCTAGTCAGAAAAATTAGGCAAGAAAAAGAGATCCAAATTGGAAAGAAGAAGTAAAATTGTCTTTATTTGCAGGTGACATAATCTTGTGTATAAAAAATCCTATAGAATCCACAAAAAAAGGAAAAAATTATTAGTGCTAATAAATGAAATTCAGCAAAGTTTCAGGATACAAGATCAGCACACAAAAATCAGTTATATTTCTTTATAGTAGCAATGAACAATCTGAAAATAAAATTAAGAAAATACATTTACAATAGCATCAAAAAGATAAAATCCTTAGGAATAAATCTAACCAAAGTATAAGACTTGCACACTGAAAACTACAAAACATCACTGAAAGAAATTAAAGACCTAAATGGAAAGACACCCCATGTTTATGGATTGGAAGATTTACTATTTTAAGTAATATTCTCCAAACTAATCTATACATTCAGTACAATTCCTACCAAAATACAAGCTGACTTTTTCTGCAGAAATGGAAAAGCTTATCCAAAAATTCATATGGAAATGCAAGAGACCCAGAATATCACAACAATCTTGAAAAAGAAGAACAAAGACAGAGGACTCACATTTTCTAACTTTAAAACTTACTGTAAAGAAAGCTACACTAATTAAGACTATGTAGTACCAGCATAAGGACAGCCACATAGATCAGTGGCATAGAATTGAAAGTCTAGAATTAAACCCTTAAATAGATGGTCAATTGATTTTCAACAAGGATGCTAAGAAAATTCAACAGGGAAAGAAAGTCTTTTTAAAAATGGTGCTGGGACAACTGAATATCCACATGCAAAAGAATGAAGTAAATCAACTCAAAAAGGATCAGGGGCCAAAAAAAAGATCAGAGACCTAAATGTAAGACCTAAAACCACAAAATACTTAGAAGAAAACATAGATATAAATCTTCATGACCTTGGATTATGCAATGATTTCTCTTTTCTTTTCTTTTAATTTTTATTTTTTAAGCAATTATTTCTTAGAGATGACACCAAAAGCACAGCAATCAAAGAAAAAATAAACTGGACTTCATCAAAATTAAAAACTTTTGCACTTCAAAAGAAACTACCAATAAAGTGAAAAGACAACCTATAAAATGAGATCAAATATTTGCAAGTCATATATTGATAAGAAACTAGTATCCAGAATATATAAAAAAAACATTATAACTCAACAATAAAAAGACAATCAGCCCAATTAAAAAGTGGGTTGAATAAAAGTGGGTTGAATTAAAGGCTCTGAATAGACATTTCTCCAAAGAAGATATAAAAATAGCCAGTAAGCACATGAAAAGATGCTCAACATCACTGGTCATTAGGGAAATACAAATCTGAACTACCGTGAGATACTACTTCACACCCACTAGGATGGCTATAAAACAATACCTCAGAGAAATAACAAGTGTTGGTGAGGATGTGGAGAAATTAGAACTCTTGTACGTCACTGGTGGGAATGTAAAATGGTGCTGTCACTGTGGAAAACATTTTGTCAGTTCCTCAAAAAGTTAAACAGAATTACCATATAAGTCATCAATTCTACTCCCAGCTTATACCCAAGAGAACTGAAAACATATGTCCACCCAAAAACTTGTATACAAGCGTTAAGGGCAGCATTACTGATAATCAAAAAGTGATGATAAGCCAAATGTTCATCAACTAATGAATGGACAAACAAAATGTGGGGTATATGGGCCGGCCCGGTGGCGCACTGCTACAGTGCGCCGCTTGGGAGTGCGGCGGCGCTCCCGCCGAGGGTTCAGATCCCACATACAGACCGGTTCCCGCTCACTGGCTGAGCGAGGTGCAGGCGCAGCACTCAGAATTACCATATAAGTCATCAATTCTACTCCCAGCTTATACCCAAGAAAACTGAAAACATATGTCCACCCAAACACTTGTACACAAGCGTTAAGGGCAGCATTACTGGTAATCAAAAAGTGATGATAAGCCAAATGTTCATCAACTAATGAATGGACAAACAAAATGTGGGGTATATCCATTCTATGAAATGTTATTTGGCCATAAAAAGAAATGAAGTAATGATACATGCTACAACATGAAGGAACTTTGAAAGCATTATGCTAAGTAAAAGATGCCAGACACAAAAGGCCACATGTTGTATAATCCCACGTATGTGAAATGCCCAGCATAGGCAAATCCGGGGACAGAAAGCAGATTAGTGGTTGCCAGCAGTTGGGGGAGGGAGAAATGGGGAATGACTGCTAATGGGTAGGGGTTTCTTTTTAGGGTGATGAAAATGTTCTGGAATTAGGTTCTATTCTGGAAATCTTCTGGAAATTGTTCTAGTCATGATTGTTACACAACCTTGTGAATATACTAAAAAACCTGCTAAATTGTATATACTTTAATAAGGTGAGTTTTATGATATGTGAATTAAATCTCAATTAAGGAAAACACTTTGATTACACTCTGCTCAGAAGGTGGGCTAAGCAGGGCCTGGAGTTCTCTGCAGGTAGAACTGAAGTATTCAGGAAGACTGCTGGGTTCTATCCTGGGTGTGCTCTACCATAACCATAAAGAACAAGCAGAACAACCTCAGATCATAAATTCCATGAACATGGCCTTGAAAATGAGCCTGTCCCAAACCCAGGTGTCTGTGTTTTGGAACTTGCTCATTTCTTGATGTTATCTACATGGAATTTATGGTCTGAGACAGGGATATTTTGTTCCATAAACACACTGTTAGTTTCTCTTTTCATGTTATTTATGAGTAGGCCAGTACAACAGGATGAAGAGTGTACGTCATTTCAGGAAGCCTACTGTTTACTGCATGGGAAATGTTGAACTTGGACATATTAATCTCCTTTGTTTTCATGACATTTTATAATTTATAGCATTTCTGGCATGAACTGCATCTGCTATGAACTTGACCTCCACCTTGTGAGGTGGGCAGTTTACAAATGAATAAATTAAGGGTCTGAGGGTGAGGGGACGGGCACGATTCCACAGTGAGTTACTGACAAGACAGAAGAAGACAGCCAGCCACCACATTTCCCACAGTGCTAGACAGCTTAAGAGAAGAAATGCCTTGTGGTTTTTTGAATTAAAAGAAGAGGGACAAGCAGGCCTTTGGTGAAGGGCCCCTGACCTGTGTGAGAAGAAGATGCCTCTGCGCAGGAAGCGGTGTGGTCTCTGGCCGATGGCTATCTCTATTCAATTTATTAGTTCTTTGTCAATTTTACTGCTTCCAAACCGAACTGGAAAAAAAAACTGGTGGCAGAAGGTTTAGTGATCAGATATCACTATAATGAACAGGAAAAACTACTGATCCATGTACAATCTTAATGAACCCAAACCTCTTTAGGCCTTCTGGTATATGGGTCCTTTCCCCTGAAACAAAGCAAAAGGTTTTTAATATTAATACAATAGCTGAGATCACAACCAGCAAACCAGGGAACAAATTACAGAATGAAATGCTATTTTGCCTGAAACTGAATTTTGATGGGAAACACATCCAGAATGCAGTCTAGCTAGCAACTTTTGACAACCCCATGTACAAAGACATGTATATAAGAGGGCACTTCAAAAAGTTTGTGGAAATATGGAATTAAAAGATAATACCTGGGCCAGCCTGTGGCTCACTCGGGAGAGTGCGGTGCTGATAACACCAAGGCCACGGGTTCAGATCCCATATAGGGATGGCCAGTTGTGTCACTGGCTGAGCATGGTGCTGACAACACCAAGTCAAGGGTTAAGATCCCCTTACTGGTCATCTTTAAAAAAAAAAGAAGATAATACCTATCTTTTCATTAACTATTTTTTGGCAGTATGGGGATCTGAACTCTTGACCTTGGTGTTGTCAGCACCATACTACCAACTGAGCTAACCAGCCAGCCTCTTCATGAACTTTTTGAAGACCCCTCGTATACGTGTGTGTGTGTGTGTCTGTGTGTGTGTGTATAGGTGTTTATTAAGATATAATTTAGATTCTTTAACAACCATGATTTTTCATATTCTTTAATTGTTGAACTGAATTAATGTCTGTTCTCAAGTGAATTTTTCCTCATTGATAGCCGACACTTAAATCATGGAAAATGGCTTTGACTTAGATAAAAACATTTTAATTCTGTTTCTTCTTCGATGATTACCAATGATCTTAGAGAATGGACTTTTTAATTGAATAGGAGCAGTCTTTTCTGAGCAGGAAGACTCTCAAGAAAGGGCTTGACAGTGAGGACTTGCTATCTGTGAGAAGTAACCCTTCTTAAGATGACTTCCAGCCTTTTAGGTCCATAATCAATATCCCTGAAGTCACTGATTGACTTGTAACCACTAAATGAAAAGCAATTTAATTGACTGCAAAGATCTCCATCTCAATAGACCCACCTTTTCCAAGTTCTGAATTGCTCAAAAAAAGGAAAAAGCTTCTACTAAAGATCATTATTTTAAAATAAATTTTATATTGGCATTTTTATTTAAATATATCCTTTGGGAATATAATGCACAACCAAAAGATTTTATGTTCTATTTTTTTCTTGGCACTAAAGCTTCACTGGATTTATCATTAATTCAAAATTTAAAAACATCAATAAAATCAACTCAATGGAATAACTTCTTAAGTTTGAGGTTTTTCCTGGGGAAGAAAACAGAAGACATACCAATGAGCTTGTCATAGTCAATGCCTTTTGCACTGCTAGTCTGCACTGTCCATGGGTCCACAAAATCCACTTCAGGTTCTATAGCGTTTGGGTCATTATGACTCCCAGGTGTTGGGTTCTCTGGAGGGCAGTTAGCCTTGTAATCCTCCCCCCCATGGCAGCTTTGTAGCTCTTTTTTTTTTTTCCTTTTTTGTCTTTTTTCATGACCCGCAACGGATCGCAACCCTCAGTGTCGTGCCTGTACCGGACCGGGACCGGCAACGGGATCGCAACCCTCGGTGTTGCGCCCGCACCTCGCTCAGCCAGTGAGCGGCCGGTCTGTATGTGGGATCTGAACCCTCCGCGGGAGCGCCGCCGTGCTCCCAAGTGGCGCACTGCAGCAGTGCGCCACCGGGCCGGCCCTTGTAGCTCATTTTTAATGATAGCAACATCTTTACTGCAGAATCAATTTCATCCTGAAGAAAGGAAATAAAAGTAAGGGCTATATATTAACAATAGCTAAATTTTGCTAAATGCCTGTTATATGCCAAGTATTGTGCTAAATGCTTCCATATACTTAACCTTATTTAGTCTCACAAAGACCCTACAAGGTATGCATCATTTTCACTGTCCTTTTCCAGCTGAAGAATTTGAGACTCAGAGGTGAAGAAGCTTGTACACAGACACACGATAAGTCATGGGCTAGAATGTATTTTATTTTTATCTGTTATTCTAGTGGTATGGATTTCTACCACAAACGCTTTGAGACAATAGTAGTGACACAATATACACTGTTTTTTACGACAAGGTTAATATGCTAAAGGTTTCTCAAACACCACTGATGCCAGAGAACATGCATGATGAGCTCCCTTAACCATGTATAGTGAATTCTACACTGGAACTTGTTTTTACTTTCCACACATGTTGCAGAAACTTAACCAATGACGCCACTAAAGATAGTAGTGGCAACTCAAATAGATATTATTAAAACAGATAAAAGGAGGGGAAAAAATGCAGACTTTCAGATTATAAATTAAGGAGAGATTCACTGGGAATCAGTAATACCATTACATTCTGGAGTGTTATCAAGCAAACTATCTGAAGTGTTTGTACATAAATTACATTCTGGAGTGTTATCAAGCAAACTATCTGAAGTGTTTGTACATTTATGTTTTAAAATAAACATATGAAAAACAAATACAAAATGTATCCATGGGTACTTAGGAAATCCGTTAAAGACTTTCTCTCCCAGGACCCCATACTGGTCACCTCTGGAAGGCTGGTATTTAAAAGAGCAGGCCTAATTAAGCCTATTAGTCATGCTATGCGCGAAAGCTCTACTCCAGTAATTGGCCTTGCCGGATTAGATCACAAACAAGGAATATACACAGTCCAATTTGCTTGCCAAGGGAAATACAAACATTTCCACTTACAGCTTACATACAATGTACTTCAACTGGGTTTCCCAGTGGAGAACTATCACGACACCATTCAGAGAGAACTATTCCATCAGGTATAGCACTTGAGCCACAGAGAACCATTATTCTAGGGTGATCTATTTCGAACTATAACATTATCTGGGATTAATCATTAAAATAAGTCAGATTTGTGGAATCAATAACCTCATAAATATAACTCACATCACAGATAAGATGTTTGCCCAGGTTAGAAAGGGGAGTATTTTTCACTCATCTCATTTCCGTACTGCCTAGGTTCAGTGTTTCCAGCAAAATAAATGTTTAGTAAGTATAATCTATCAAATTATCTAAGGGAAGACTTATCTTGCTTTGAAATACACTGTAGTCAATATCCTTTAATCACTAGCTGTGTTGACATTTCATACTCTACCTGGTCTAATTCTGCTTGCAACCAGGATGCTCTTTGAAAGTCAAACATTTAACCAAAGTCTGCTCAAGGACCATCTGAAATCAGGAAAGGGACTGAAATAGACAAGCAGGCTCACCTTGTCTGTTTTCTTGTTCTCAATCTAACATGCAGGAGGACACTGAAGCAGAATTTGAAAGCTGATGTTCTGAAAAAAGCTAGACACAAAAGACTATATGCTATCTGATTATACAGCATTCAAACACAGTCTGAACCAATACATGGTGGCAAGAGTCAAAATCGAGTGAAGGGGTGTGAAGACAGCTTCAAGCTGCTGCTATGCTGATTCTTGCTTTGGGTGCTAGTTACACAGACGTAGTCATTTTGTGACAATTCAGTGAGCTGTCTCCTTATGATCACCGTAATTTCTGTATGAATGGTGTATTTCAATTTAAGCAGTTTACTTAAACTGAAAGGAAAACCAAAAAGGGCTCTGCTCTCTATCATAATCCCTGTGATCCAGTGTCATTTCTTCAGTCCTATTCAAACTGTGTATGCCTTCAGCCACTGTCTCCCCTCATAACCCCCTGATTATGACCTATCCCCCAGGAGACTCCCTGCTTTAGTGAGCTGTTGTTACTGAAAGACGTGCATCTTATTCTTTAGGAGAAGGAAAGAACTTTGAGTACTGGATAAACAGCAGGAGACAGAGGAGAAAGAGCTGTCAGTGTCTCTCAGTGTACTGGTGCTACCAGAGTGGCTCAAGTATTTTGCCAAAAGTAAATCTCCAAAATATCAAGTACTTCTATTACAAACACATTTCAGGGTCGGATACCAATTTACCCCTGAATTTTTCATCATTTAATTTTGGTCTCATTGTGTAATCTCTCATCTCTTAAGTGTGTGCCAGCTGATTGCATTTGTCAAAGAATACCTTGGAAGAGTATTCCTTTTTTTTTGGTGGCTCATTGGTACAGGGATCTGAACCCTTGACCTTGGAGTTATAACCACACTCTAACCAACTGAGCTAACTGGCCAGCTGGAAGAGTTATTCTAAACTGTATTAAGTATTGCTTGTTGATTAAAATAATGAACATAATTGTAGACACTAAGAATTACTAACTAAAAACATTTACTAAATATTATTCAAATTTAATGTTAAATGGACAAAAATATCACTGTCAACTTCCCAAAATGAGCTTATGGAGTAAATAACATTTGGGTCCTTCATTTTAAATTTTTGCTTTAAAACAACTTAGCCAATTCACTGAGATCTAACTGGTAAGTAGATCTCTTTCTGTGAATAATCAACTTCTTTTTTTTAATGTTACTTTCTTTCAGTACTATTTATTTCCTTTAATATGTAATGGTTTATTTGGGGTCCAAATAGCCAAAGTAAAATACTGGGGTAACTGTGAGATGGTTGACACAATTTGGTCACAAGCAAGGAAAAGATTTTTGAAGAGGGCAACAAGGGTGGGAAGTGATGGAAAAGGAATTCATGGGACTAAGAGTGGAGGCACCCCAGAAGGAAATGAAGTGCCTATGTTCCAGTTAAAGATGCAGACTGACAATGACCCTTCAGAAAACTACTATAACAACAGCAAAGAAATCTTTAAAAAAGGCATAACCCAACGGGGACAAAGGAAACAGGAAGAAGACAAAAGCAGCAAGACTTCAGAAGCTTAAAAGCTTATGTATGACTAGTGACTGACTGAGCACAGGAGAAAAGCAAATGCCAAGGCATCGTGGAAATACTGTCCTGGGCAGTGACCGCACTTAACGCTGCTGTGGAATCCCCCAAAGGCTCAGGCATTAATGGTTTCAGGTACTTATGGGAGTGGGGTTATAAAAACAGGAGCACTGGTTGAAGGTTCAAGAAGTAGTTATTCAGACCAACCCACCTAGGAATGCCACCCCTCCTCCAACCACAGGTTTTGGATGGAGAGAGGACCGAATTACAAGTTCTAGACTTGGGGCATTATGCATGGTGGGGGGCAGGGGCAGAACACTGAGAATGGGAAGCTTCCAAGAGGGATCACTTAGATGTGGAAAACTGGCAGCCAGACTTAAACCCTCTGGACAGCAGACTGCAGGAGCTTTCTCTGAGGAATCTGACTAACCTCAAAGAAAAGATCTAAAGACCCTGATGCTGAAGATTTGTTCCCTAACAAAAGGAAGCAGCCTGATCACTCTCCAGGGAAGTGGAACCTATGCTGGGGACCAGCCCCAGCACAGAGATTGTGAAGGTCCCCACTGGTAAGGGATCCCCCAAAAGGGAGGAAGGGCAGCGTCAGCGATGGAGCGGACAGCAAACATACAGACTCAAAGGATCTGGTGAATGCTGGGACAACTGACACACATACTCAAGGGATCTGTTGAATGCTGACAATTTATTGAAGCAAGCATCAGACTTTTATACTTTTCTTTCTTATTTGCTACATAATCATAAAATAATCAATGAACAATATCATAATATCTCTTTGTAAGTG